AGCGGCTTGGCCATGCATGTGGCTGCTGAGCCCTTGAAATGTGAATCGAGATATTCTGCAAGTGTCAGATGAACAAAATTGAGCGAGAAACATGTAAAATAGCTAGCTAAAAGAGTTTTATGTTGCTTGGTTATGTGTTGAAATGATAGCACCTATTTTCATCTTATTTATCTATTATTTTTTTGAGTCGAGGTCTCTTTCAGTCTCCCAGGCTGGAGTACAGTGGCATAATCACAGCTCTCTGCAACCTTGAACTCCTGGGCTCAGATGGTCCTCCCGAGGAGCTGGGACTACGGGCATGCGCCACCACGCCCAGCTAACTTTTAAATTTTTTTGTAGACAGGAGGTCTCGCTGTGTTGCCTGGGGTGGTCTTGAACTTCTGGTCTCAAGTGATCGTCCTGTCTCTGCCTCCCAAAGTGCTGGGGTTACATAGGCCTGACCAAAATGATAACATTTTCAGTGCTGTTTTAGGTTAAGTACAGTGTATTAAATGAATTCCACCTTTTCAAAACTCTTGCGAATGTGCGTACTGGAAAATTTTAAGTTACGTATGTGACTTGCATCATGATTATATTGGACTGCATTGGTTTGGATGAGAGGAGTTAGGAAGGCCTCTTGTCCACCAAGGCTTGCCGTGGAGGACACTTCCAGAGCTATGGTTGGCACCACTGGACCTAGGCTTTGTAAGGCCTCATGTTGGTATCCCCCCCAGTGCTAGTGACCAGTTTGGAAGAGCTAATTGCACAGGACTTGGCCTCCCAGAGTCACTGGTTGGGGCACCCTGGGTTAGTGACCTGACTTCTCTGCGACTCAGTTTGTCTAGATGGCAGTTAAGTGAGCTTTGTGGGCCTCCTCAGAGACCCCATCTCTATGTAGGGGAGCTGCTGAGATAACAGGAATTCAAGCTCTCCTGCATTGCAAAGCAGTTTGGGAGACTAGGAACTTGGAAAAGGAAACGTGGCCTCCAAGAGCACCTGGGAGACTGCCCTGGGCCCTGGGATTGGCTGAAGTCCAGGGTTAAATGCATTCTTCGCCTCTACTTTAAAGCACTAACCCCAAAGCTTTTTACATTTTGGGTTTTTTTGAGTTGGAGTCTCACTCTATCACTCAGGCTGGAGTGCAGTGGCACGCTCATGACCACCGCAGCCTCGGCCTCCTGGGTCAGGCAGTCCTTCTGCCTCAGCCTTCCAAGAAGCTGGAACAACTGGCGTGTGCCACCACACCCGACTAATTTTTTGATTTATTGTAGAGGTGAGGTCTTGCCAAGTTGCCCAGGCGGGTCTCGAACCTGTGGACTCAGGCCATCCTCTCACCTTGGCCTCCCAAAGTGCTGGGATTATAGGCATGAGCTCCCGGCCACTTTTTACATTTTTATCTTTTTTTATTTTGGGGACAGGGTCTCACTCTATTGCTAGTGGCATGATCATAGCTCACTGCTTGATCACTACTCATTACTTGAGGCCAGCAACCTCGAGCTCATAGACTCAAGCATTCCTCCTATCTCAGTCTCCTGAGTGACTGAGTCTACAGGTGTGTGCCACCACACCTGGCTAATTAAAAAAATTTTTTTGTAGAGACAGGGTCTTGCTATGCTGCCCAGGCTGTGACCCCCAGGCTTTAGATTGGCTCTGTCACAAATAATAGCAGTATGTGGATGACTCCTGTGGGAATCACATAGAGGGCTCTGGGCTGTATTTTGGGATGAGGTGAGTCTCGTTTAGGGGAGCAGGAGGCCAGGGCTTCAGTGCTGCGACTGAGGCCTCTTCGGGCTTGTGGCTGGAGGAGATGGAAAACAAACCTGAATGCAGATGAGTAAACCGAGTCACCACAGGTTGGCACAGGTGATGTGAAGACAGTAGAGTACTGAGAGAATGTGACAGGGGAGGGTGGCCTGTGCTAGAGAGAGGGGTCTGGACAGCTCTGACGGAAGGCATTGGACTGCATCAGAGGAGTAAGGAGCCACCTGCCTGAAGAGATCGGGGAAATGCATTCCAGGCAGAAGGAACAGAGGCTGCAAAGGCCTGAGGGAGAGAGAACTTGGCATGTCCAAGGAGCCGAAGAGCCCGGTGTGTCTGGGGAGGAATTGCGGAGTGGGTCGGTCACACCAGGCAGGGACTTGAGGCCCGCAGAGAGGTGTCTGGACTTTATTCAGAGAGGTAGGAAGTCAGTGAAAATTTTAGGTAAGCACATCATATGACCTAATTTATGTGTTGTGAAGAAATTTAAGTATAGAAAGTGAAAACACGTAAGTGCAAATGAAAGCAAGGGAGATTTCTTTTGAATTCTTTTTTTTTTGAGTTGGAGTCTCACTCTGTCGCCCAGACTGGAGTGCAGTGGCCGCTCTCGGCCACCGCAGCCTCGCCTGCTGGGCTCCGGCGATCCTTCCGCCTCAGCCTTCTGAGTAGCCGGAATTACAGGCATGCGCTACCACGCCCCGCTGATTTTTTGATTTATTGTAGAGATGAGGCCTCGCTGCCCAGGTGGGTCTCGAACCCGCGGGTTCAGGCAATCCACTCACCTCAGCCTCCCAAAGGCGTGGGATTACAGGCTGAGCCACCGAGCCCGGCTTCTTTTGAATTCTTTGAGTGAAGCCAGGTGTGGTGGCTCATGCCTATGATCTCAGCACTTTGGGAGGCAGAGGCGAGAGGATTGCCTGAGCCCAGGGGCTCGAGACCAGCCTAGGCAACTTGGTGAGACCTTGTCTCTCTAATAAATAAAGAAATGAGCCAGGCGCATGCCTGTACTTCCAGCTACATGGAAGGCTGAGGTGGAAGTATCATCTGAACCCAGCAGGTTGAGGCTGTGGTGTCCGTGAGCATGCCACTGCACTCCAGCCTGGGCAACAGAGTGAGACTCCAACTCAAAAAAAAACCAACAAAAACCAAAAAAACTCCAGATATCGTTGAGTGCGAAAGAGCCTTTACATTTATGCCTCAAAATCTAGAAATCAACAGCAACAACAAATTAGCAGCCCATTAGAAATATGAACCAGGAACATCAACAATTCCTAAGAAAGTAAACAAGGATGCTGAGGCTTACTCACATGAGAGAAATGCAAATCAAAACTATACCACAATGCCATTTTTCATCAATTTGACAAAATTGGCAAAAATACAAAAGTTGGAGAATGCATTCTCTCTGAGAGCTTATGGAAACAAATCCTTTCATGCATTGCAGAGGAAGACACGTTTCACATTCTGTATCGGCAGTTTCACTTCTGGGAATTTGTTCTACTCATATATGAGAAATAACACAAGCACACGATTATTCATGGCCGTGACTTTTGAACAGCAAAAGATTCAAAGCAGTGAGCTATCCATCAGTAGGGTAGTATTGGGATCCATCTGTCTATACAGCATAAGAAGGAATGAGCACACTCTCTGTAGACATATTGTTGGTAGAGATAGCAAAAACACAACAGGGCGCACAGTGCACTGTATTTTGTGTAGAAAAGGCAGAAATGCAAGTGTGTGTTTCTCCTGCTGTGTTTGCATAAAGACACCACAAGGATACAGGCTGCTTCTGAGTCTGGCATGAGCTGGGGGACATGGATCAGGGGAGCCGGTGGTTGGAGAAAGGGTGGGAGAAACTCTTCACTGTATGAGTTTGTATAGCAACATTTTTTTTTTGAGTTGGAGTCTCACTCTGTCGCCCAGACTGGAGTGCAGTGGCCGCTCCCGGCCACCGCAGCCTCGACCTGCCGGGCTCCGGTGATCCTTCCGCCTCAGCCTTCCAAGGAGCTGGAACTACAGGCGCGCGCTACCACGCCCGGCTAATTTTTTTAATTTATTGTAGAGATGAGGTCTCGCTGCCCAGGCGAGTCTCGAACCCGCGGGCTCAGGCGATCCACTCACGTCAGCCTCCCAAAGGTGCGGGTTTACAGGCTGAGCCACCGAGCCCGACTTGCCTGTTAATTTGACAAATGAAATCATGCAGTGTGTTCCCTTTTGTGTCGTGTTTCTTTCACTCAGTGTTATATTTGAGAGATTTTTCATATTTGTGGCATGTGGTTGTCGACTGTTCCTTCCCATTATTGTGTAGTGTTTCAGCGAGTGAATATCACAATTTATTCATTCTTCTGTTGATGAAGTATACTTTCTCGTTTCGATGAGTGCTGCTATGAACATTCTAGAACATGTCTTTAAGTGAGCACATGGGTGCATGTCTGCTGGGTGCGCATCCATCAGGTATGCAGACCTTGGAATGGAATTGCTGGGCCATAAGGTAGGCAAATGTACAGCTTAAGCTGCTGTGTAGTTTTCCAAAGTGGCTGAGACAGTTTACTTTTTTTTCAGATTAGAAAATATAGTTTATTTCGAAAGTAAATTGGGTAGAGAGATTCACCTCGCCAAGGTAGGGGAGGGATCCAAAGCTAGGAAACATGGCGGCCATAGCTCAAAGAGCCACACGGCCACACCGTAGCTTAGCAAACCGATGGCCCATTTGACATTTAAAGCCAGCCATATTTGAGAGTCCCAGTTGCTCCACGCCTTCACCAGCACTTGGGTTTGCCAGTCCTTTTTATTTTAGCAGGGTCATTTTTACCTTTAAAAAACTTCGCCGGGTACACTGGCTCACACCTGTAATCCCAGCACTTTGGGAGGCCGAGGAGAGAGGATCGCTTAAACCCACAGGTTCGAGACCAGCCTGGGCTACTT